CCCCAACTCTATCTTTGGCTCTGGCAGGTGCTAGTCCTTCCAACCCTCCCCTAAGGACTGGGGGACCCCTTTTGACAAAAGGTTCTCTTTCATGGATCAGAAATAAGACCCTGGATCAGTTTAAACTCAGGCTACTTATTCAAAAGTAGGTTTATTTGTCTGTTGTTCTCTGGAGAATCTAGTTTGCACTAATATATGTGAGCCGCTCCGGGAGGTGGTACCTCTCTGGGGGATTATAACCTGGTTGATTTGCCTTAATCACCACATACTGTTTTTAGTTCCTGAAGGAGTTGTGGTAGCCCTACCCCATGAATTAGAACATAATCATACATAAACCATTTATTTAAAGCAATGGACCCCAAAGATTCTGTAGAGGGTTTCAATATTTGTCACATCCCCCACATAAGGAAGTTATATACAATCCAGGCCCAGAATACTGCATAAACTCAATACCATAATGTCTTTCAAGGATATTGTGGGAAATTGCATCGCTATTGCAACATACATCTTGCATAATCTCATTAAGTTATCAACTCAGCATTGTTCGTTCCTACCCTTAAGCCTTCTTTTATGGCATATACTGATGTAATTTCAAAAGAATCCTGCATTATGTTATAAAGCTAAATAATTTTTTTCCTTTTAGGATCTCTGAATGGTACAATCTAAAGAAGGGGTAGATGGTGGGAGAGGCAGCAAATATAGGCAGAAGCTGTTAGATACATTCCCTATGCACAGAAGTATCATTTGTCTTTTTTACCCTTGTAGAAATTTTGAAACAGAGAAGTGAACTCCACAACATTTCCCAGGGTTATGACCATCTGTCCACAACAGTGAAGTCCCTAGTGCAGAAGGTTAAATGGTGACAGAACAGAAATCCTAACATTTTTATAACCATACTAGCAATTTTAAACTAATCTGAAGTCTCAGAATCCTCTTTTTGGTGCACCAATGATTTTTACTATGATGGTGGTGATGGGATCATTTGAGTTATTAGAAACTGTCATTTCTCAGTTATTGTATTGGAATTTGGTAATTACTTTTTCAATAAAGAAAGTAAAAACCATTAAGAAAAAAAAAGAGAGAAACATTAGCTTTAAACCCTACACTCAATTAAACTATCATAGCAAGAAGGTAATGAATTAGGATAATTTGGGGGAAGGAATGAGATTTTACATACTAGAGCCTTTAAACTATTCTACAATTCATTAAAATCAAACATAAGAAAAGAATTACCAGTACTAACAGCACATAAGACCCTATGTAAGAAATAGACTTAGGCCTGGTCTACACTCCACGGTTAGGTCGACTCAAGGCAGCTTACATCAACCTAACTGTGGATGTGTCTACACTTAAATTTCACCCCTGATGATGTAGGGTCAGAGCTGATGTAATTATGTTGACGCAGTGTCAGTGTAGACACTGGG